CCTTCTCTTACAAGCTCCTGTGTCATGTTTGTCCTATAACTGCAGATATCTATCTTTTGGGCTGTATCATTAGTTTAATAGCAGATTCCAGATGTGCCTGCTAATTTAGAAGTACACTTAGTTAGACATTTTCCTTGTCTGCACTTATTGCTATTTGAACTTGCTTATAAATGAAATGTATTCAAATTATTGTTACAAGAGATTATTTTGGTGGGGCTGGGGGGGGTTATATGTATCTGTTACTTTAAATTGTGAGGCTTTCTCTTGATTAATGGTGGTTCCTGTTTTTTGGTTAATTTTATTAAACTTTTTAGGTTGAGAGGGTAACTATTTCAAAAAGCATTCGATCGCATAGTACCTTCTTCCCCAAACACAGGTTGATTAGATCCTGTTAAAGTTTAACCCATTACATGAGTAATATGTTCCAACCTGTTTCTCACCGCTGGTTTCTGTTGGTTAACTCTTTGATTATCATTGAGTGAATTAATAACATTCTGTTTTCTCTTATACAGTGGGTTCAGCGTTTCAACGGATAACAGAATTCACATTTTCAAGCCTGTCTCAGTTCAAGCCATGTGGTAAGCGTTTATGGAGTTCGGCTGTTGTGAAAAATGACAATATGCTTGTATTCCCTTAAAACATACCATTGCAGTTTATGTATATATTTTTGTTGACTTCTGCTTTTTTCCTATTATAGTGCAAATATGCATTTTAGCTTGTTTATTTTTGTAATGTATTATTTTCATTTATTTCCAAAGGTCCGCTTTGCAGAGTTTGCACAAGGCCTGTGAGGTTGCCCGAGCTAACAATTACTATCCTGGCAGCCTCTTCTTAACGTGGGTTAGTTACTATGAAAGCCATATCAACTCCGACCAGTCCTCTGTCAATGAATGGAATGCCTTGCTTGATGTCCAATCTCATCGCTCCGATTCACCAGTGCTCTTCACTGATGTGTAAGTCACAACAAAAGCACTCACCCACGCTCACTTTTAAGTGTATAATGATGTAAGTTCTTCTAAAGGCAGAGTAGAATAAAAGGCTACTATTGGATTTACAACTCTCGTTATCCTAAACCACCCACACTCTAGATTAATATTACGGTCATTGGGATCAAACAGGAGTTTTCACAGTTCTCCCTTAGGTGCACTTAATAAACACACAATCACTAGACGCTATTACACATGTGATTAGTGGTGCTATTTTTGCAGCAGGTGATAAGGCCCCAGGCATTGGGGTTAGTGGAATGCATTTGTTGCTCAGCTCCTACCTAGAACCATAAATGGACTCAGAGATTTGATACTACCCCTGAAAAGATATGGGGACGGATAGATCCTTATGCGTTCTTATGTAGGCAGCTCTCAGAAAATCCAATTGTGGAGTGTGAGGCATGCAGCACTAATGTAATGTGCGGAGTATCCCCATACAAGGCTTCTCAGAACATTTTGAAATAACCAGTGTTTTAATATGACGTGAATTATTGACTGATTGTTTTTCTTTTGCAGACCAACTGAACGTGAACGCACTGAACGTTTAATTAAAATTAAATTAAGAGAAATCATGATGCAAAAAGACCTTGAAAACATTACATCCAAGCAGGTGAGTTGGTGCGGCATAGTCAGATGGCTGGGATATAATGCGTGGTTACCACTTTATGCACCGGCGATTACCTTTCACATCACAGTTAGAGCTCTTTAAAAAAAACTGTCAGCAGATTGTGTCGTGCTTATTTAGCTCACACAGGTCCAAAGCAATATCCCACTCAATGAACAGGATACGTAAAGTAACAGAACCGCATCATGGGAAATGTAATTCAGAGACCTGTAGTAGTATAGAGCTAGACTGAGGTTGGTTATTAAGGCCTTCATTGTTTTTTTTGTTTTGTTTTTTTTTTTATTCCTGGATGCTTGCATATATCTGGTCTGTAATTGTAGTTTCACTGATATACCTGTGATCTCTCAGTGTAAACTAGCAAATTATAAAGGTCACTCAGTCTGTTTTTCTTTATCACGGCAAGCTTTAGGCAATACTCAAATATCTCACTTTTTACTATCTACTTTTGTCTTTATTACAGCAAAAAAAAAAGGGGGGGGGGGGCAGACCTCCTGCTTGAATACAGTTGGCTCAGGCAAATAGATCTTAAAGTTCTTACATGTTCATTTCCAATGCAGCTGCCTTTAGAACTAGTTAGGGATTGAAGATGACGAGCCACTACATATCTAGCCTCTGTGGGCCCTAAAAATCTTGAGGGAAGACTAATTTGGAAAGATCTCAGGTAGTTCATTATTTAGTAAGAGTATGCCAGCAGCTGTATTTGCAGAGGCTTCTGCATTTATTCATGGTAACTCCAAGGAATTCTGATATAAATGGACTCTTCCTTTAAATAAAGATATGTATTGGATATCTTTGCATAGACAGTGTGTTTGTTATATAATCTTTTAAAGATCATTCTAATAGTAGGTTTCTAAAACCGAAAGACAAAACCCTAAATCGTAGTCTGTAAGGCCATTGTGAAATTGCTGACATCCCTCCTTCTCTTTTCCCCGGTCGTCGTCTGCTTTTGATCAATTTCTTTGCTTTACAATACTGTGTACATATTTCCTAATAACATTTCCCAATGATG